GCGCGACGGGCTGGAGTTTTGAGACTCTATGACCGCGGGTTCAATCCCGGCCGGGGGTATGGTTCATCAATTGAATGACAGCACCCTCACCCTCCTGCTGATCATAGGTACGCAGAAATTCCCCTAATTTCTAATTATCTAAAATGACAGATAGATGTATAGGATTTAAGCTCCTACTAGGAAGGAATACCTTCTTTTAGAGATGCCAACATGAGGATGTTTAGGACTTCAAGACAGCGCCTCCCCACTTATGGAATAATTAACATACTTCCACGATCATGCGATATTTATTCTTATTCTCATCACTACACTAATAGGTTATATTTTAATTAATTCAGCACTAAACTCACTTATTAACCATTTTTTACTTGAAAATCAAGAAATTTAAATTATCTGAACTATCCTACCTGCTATCATTTTAATTTTCATTGCTATACCCTCACTGCGACTCCTCTATTTATTGGATGAAACTAACAACTCAAGAATCACAATTAAAACCATCGGACCACTAGCCCCAAGGGGCCTCTCGTAAGTGCTGCCTTCAATGTCTGAACTGCTCAAGGTGAGCACAAGGTCCAGTCTTTCTGGTTCATCCTCCCCTCTCTCTCTCTGGTAGTGTCCCTGACATGTTGATGCACGAGGTTTTCCAGTACTACATCCATCATCTTCGCTCTCCATGTTTTGGGACCCCATGTGGCTCCAGGTTTTCCCAATTGATCTACCTGTGGTTGAAATCACCCATAACTAGTAACTTTGCTCTGCTCAAGTGAGCTCTTCTTGCAACCTCAGTCATTGAGTCCACCATCGCTCTGTCGTTTTCTTCGTACTCCTCTCTTGGCCTCCTGCAGTTCTGTGGTGGGTTGTACTAATGTTCCCCAGACTGAATTGTACCTATTATGTTGTCCCTTCCTCCAATCTAGTCCATGTCTTCCATTTCCTCAAATCCCCATCGGTTTTTTTATGATGGGTCCTACACAGATGACAGCAAGGAAATGAGTGAGCTACTCAAGTCCCAATATGACTCAGTTTTTAGCAAGCCACTAACCAGACAGAGTCGAAGATCAAAATGAATTTTTTATAAGAGCCACAAAATTTGGTTAACACAAGCCTATCTGATATTATCCTGACGCCAAATGACTTCGAACAGGCGATAAATGACATGCCCATGCACTCTTCCCCAGGGTCAGACTCATGGAACTCCGTGTTCATCAGATGTGTTTTATCATCCTATGGAGAGGGAGCATGGACACGGGGGTCGTCCCACAGTTACTAAAAACAACAGACATAGCCCCACTCCACAAAGGGGGCAGTAAAGCAATAGGAAAGAACTACAGACCGATAGCACTAACATCCCATATCATAAAAATCTTTGAAAGGGTCCTAAGAAGCAAGATTGCCTCCCATCTAGATACCCATCAATTACACAACCCAGGGCAACATGGGTTTAGAGCAGGTCGCTCCTGTCTGTCTCAGCTACTGGATCACTGCAACCTCTCCTCCCCCTCTGCTCCTTCAATCTTTCCTCAGGATCTGATATCCTGGTGGGAAGATTGCATCTGTTATTGTCTCAGCGAGTTTCGTTTCTGCGACTGCTATGATGTCTTGGGATTTCTCATTGATTCTTTTGTGCCACTCTCCATGCGCTTGCATATTTTAAATCCTACCTTTCTAATAGGTATCAGTATTATTAATTTTTTTTATTAACACACTGGCCGATTCCCACCAAGGCAGGTTGGCCCGAAAAAGAAAAACTCTCACCATCATTCACTCCATCACTGTCTTGCCAGAAGGGTGCTTTACACTACAGTTTCTAAACTGCAACATTAACACCCCTCCTTCAGTATGTCACCATTAAAGACACAGCCTCATCGATACGGCCAGTTGATGCTGGAGTTCCGCAGGGAAGTGTCCTTGGACCCCTGCTCTTCCTCGTTTACATCAATGATCTTCCAAACATATCCCAACACCTGAAACCCATTCTCTTTGCTGACGACACGACTTATGTTATCTCCCACCCTAATCTTGCCACCCTCAACAACAATGTTAACGAGGAGCTGCTCAAAATATCGACTTGGATGACAGCCAATAAACTTACACTTAACACTGACAAAACCTACTATATTATGTTTGGTAGCAGAGCAGGTGTTGCACAACTTCACTTTAAGATCGACAACACTAATTGCCAGACATAATGAGGGCAAATTCCTTGGCCTATACCTCGACGACAACCTGAATTTCAGCACCCATATCCAACACACAAAAAAAGTATCCAAAACGGTGGGGATCCTCTCCAAGATACGATAGTACGTGCCGCAAACTGCCCTTCTCACACTATACCATTCACTTATATATCCATACCTCACCTATGCTATCTGTGCTTGGGGATCAACTGCAGCAACACACCTAAAGCCAATAATAACCCAACAAAAAGCCGCAGTAAGAATAATCACTAAATCCCATCCCTGGCAACACCCCCCCCCCCACTCTTCATAGATCTAAACTTACTCCCTGTTCAGAACATCCACACTTACTACTGTGCAATCTATATCTACAGGACCTTAAATTCCAATATTAACCTTGACCTAAAACGCTTTCTTGATAGTTGTGACAGAACCCACAGGCATAACACCAGACACAAACATCTCTATGACATTCCCCGTGTCCGACTAAACCTTTACAAAAATTCAATGTATTTCAAAGGACCTAAAATCTGAAACACCCTACCTGAAAACTCTAGAACTGCAGACACATTCATCACTTTCAAAACTACAGTTAGAAAACATCTAATCTCCCTGATCCACCCCGACAACTAACTACATAACCACCTGGTGGTTCACAATTACACTCACCCACTGACTATAAACCCAAAAATACTATTCTTAATCTTAAAATAATAAATCCTAACTAGTCATAAGTTTGCCTATGATGCTCCAATATAGACACTTTGTATTGTGCCAAAACAAAAGCATTCACATTGCTAAACTCACAAATTATGATGTAGTCACTTAGCCTTAGATAAGATTTCGTTCGGATTTTTAACCCCGGAGGGTTAGCCACCCAGGATAACCCAAGAAAGTCAGTGCGTCATCGAGGACTAACTTATTTCCATTGGGGTCCTCAATCTTGTCCCCCAGGATGCGACCCACACCTGTCGACTAACACCCAGGTACCTATTTGCTGCTAGGTGAACAGGACAGCAGGTGTAAGGAAACGTGTCGAAATGTTTCCACCCGCCGGGAATCGAACCCGGGCCCTCCCTGTGTGAAGCGGGAGCTTTAGCCACCAGGCCACCCATAATCTGTAAGGATACCATAATCTGTAAGGATTTAATGCTGTGTTATTCACTAATTTTTGCAAGAGAGCCACGTCGGTTAAACACATTAATTGAGAGAGCCGCAGCTACTGCAAGTTAGCGTAACTCAACTAAATTAAGTAGTACTGAGCTGCTAGCGAAATATAGTAAATGAGAAAAATTAGACATGGTAATATTAGCCTGCATATCTTGTTATTGGCGGCTCGCGAGCCACGCAATGAATACCACTGATTTAATTTTAAGAATTAATCAAAGTCTGCTCGAAATGCCTAGCCATGCTAGGTGTCCTAGTGGCCGCCTCTGTAATTAGTATTTTATAACATGTAAACCACACAATACCCAAAACCTGTAAACCCCACATTGTAACCCTTATAGAGAATAAACTTGAATTGAATTGAATTGAATTGAATTGAATTGAATTGAATTATTCTATCTGCATTCGTGTACCAAACCTTCAGCTTCTTTTCTATCACGGTGTTCCTGGGAGAATATTGGGGTTGGGGGAGTGGGAGCCCTGATGGGGGTCTATGGGGGTTTTTGGTGTGGGTGGGGTTTGTTATGAGGGGTTGGGGTCAGAGTGCCCATAGGGAGCAGCTGTAGGGGTGAGATTTGTGAAGTGGAGGTTTGTGGCAGAGGGAACAGTGTGTGGGTTTTGGTTTAGATTGCTCAGTTGCATTGGGGTTGTCACAGTTGGACTTCTTCTGTGGGAGTTTCTCGGGGGTGTGTTTGCCCTTCCTCCTAGATCTGGGTCCTGCTCAACGTCATCATTGCCTCTCTTTCCTCCTTGCATCTTTGTACCCTCTCTTTCAGTATCATCCTTTCTTCTTGTGTTCTGTTGCAGTTGAGGTATACTCTCTGGTACTCCAGTTTGTCCCTCAGTCGTGCTTTCTCTTGCAGGATCCTGATTTGAGCGGATTTTTTTCTTGAAAATCACTGACAGGTCGTTTCCTTCCACTGGCAAACCACCCAATTCTCTGAAAATTTGTCACCTGGGTCATGCCACCCTCACCTATTGTCATGATACCTGCAATCACTTTTTCCTCCTCCTGTTTTCTTTCATCGTAGGTTTCCCCTTCGGCTTCTTGGAGCCCATAGAAAAAACTGACCTCTCCCTTTCCTCCTCCCAGTGAGTCTCCCTATGCATCCTCTGAGGTGTTTTAGTTCCTTCCATTGAAATGTTCCTGCTTTCAATCCCTATCCTTGATGAAGCCTCTATGCTCGGTGAACTGTCTCATGATCAGCTGTTCTTTGTTACTGCAGTTGGCTGTTATAGTCTCTGCATATAGCATACCTTCGTTGTCCTCAGACCTGTCATTTGATTTTAGTGTACTCCTTGTCTTTTCCTTGGCCCCACGTGGGTCTGATAGGGCCTTCACATACAGCATATCTCCTTTGTTTCCTACCGTCCCCTTGTCTGACTTACATAGAAGTTCCTGATGTCGTGTCTGTACTGTTATTTGTCTCTAATCTCTTAAGTTTTTATTTTAGTTCCTCTTCTAAGCACTGTCTCCTAGCTTCTGCTGCTAAGACTTGTAGCTCCCACTTCCTGCTCTCTTCAGCTATCCTCTCCTCCATTATCTTGCCAAGCTCTTCTATCTTCCTTCCCCAGAGGGGGAGAGAGAAAGGGTAGAAAGAGGGAGAGAGGAGGGTGTGCGTGCATGCATGTAACTTTCTCACTTTTTCTGACCTTTATATGCGAAGGGACAATATCCAACGTTGTCATAATCCTTGGTCCAGCCTGAGGTGGCTGAAGCATCGACCAACGGACAGATCTGTAGCAGAAATCAGAACAACTTGCAGTTAGTAATGTCAGGAATGACAGAATCTGCTGGACTAGTTAGTACAAATAGTTCATTGAACTTTAGTGACGATGAAATGTCGAGGATTTTGATTAGATGGTGAATGTGGTGGAGATAGGAAGTTCATGGTGATAACTGTAATGTTAAGAATGGAAGTAATGATAGCATTGAGTGTCATTATAATGATTCCATTACTTGATCCTGTCTCAGAGCTGATCTGAACTCCCCTTCACCTTGTCCTTCCTCTCCACCTACCTCGTAGTAAGACAGGAATCCCTTGGCGCCAGTGAAAGGTCCAGGGGCGCCGCCTCCCTCCCACTTCTTGACGGGTGCCCTCAGTTCGTGGTTGTCCTTGCTGCCCAGCGTGTAAGTTCTGCCATAGAAGGGCACGCCAACGATGAGCTTATCCTTGGGGCATCCCAGTGACTCCCATAACTTCATTCCATCAGCCTGAGAACAGAGTCACACTTAACCAAACATGGGACAGGAGAAGAAAAACAAGTAGAAGAAGAATCAGAAGAAAGAGACTTGCCTAGCATGGGTCAGTAGGCCTTCTGCAGTGCTTCTTTCCGAGGTTCTTAGGCAGAAGAAAAAGGAAATGGCGAAAACGAGGACTACTTTCCAGGTTATTATCTTCGTAGAAGTAATATCCCGGAAAGCCCGACAATGTGGCTAATTTCCATTATGCTGGTATTTACATTTTCGCCCATGATGCGACCCATAACAGTCGATTCATTCCTATATTTATGTACTGATAAATGATACACTTGTGCAACACTTGGATAACGTATCACCAGCTAGTGGCTTCCTCAGTCCAATACAGAGAAGAATGGTGGAGGAGTTGGAAGTAATCAGTCCTTAGGCCTGGAGTCTATGAATCCAATCCATCACTCATGATAAAAGAGTAAAGACTTCAACTCCAAGCTGAGAGATTAATTACATCATCTACCCTTCTCCTGTCTGCAGTATTTAAGCCCCGTCTTGGCGCATATACTGTATTATTATCAAGACTGACGGACTGATTACAGACTCCAGATTGAGGATCTTATTCACAATTTTCTCTGCCATTAATTCGTGGCATTTATTATAAGATCTGGTCACATTACCTTTCTTATTATTTACCGATGCTTTAATAGCCCGAACATTCATGGATTTACCACTTCCAATTATTACATTAACTTTATCTATGGCTCAATAAACAGTGGTTGTAATTACACAAAATTAACATTGACTAACTTCCTCAAACTACTCCTGATCTCCAACCATTCTTCTGTGTGTTGGACTGAGGAAGCCACTGTGGCTTCCTCAGTCTTATTTATCAACTTGTATGTTCAGAACCATTTATCTACAATACTGGTAGCCACTGGTTGACGAAACGTCTGTTTAATAAAGATACCCAGTTGCTGGGCACGTAAAGATACCCAGTTGTTGGGCACGTAAAGATACCCAGTTGTTGGGCACGTAAAGATACCCAGTTGTTGGGCACGTATCTAATTCTTCTACAGTTCATTTACTGTTGGGTATCAGGAGCAAGAGTTAGACTTGCTCAACCATCGTACATCATCCAGGGGTCGAGGCTGATGTCAGGTTAATGTGATACCTTCACAAGGTGGCAACAGCCCAGACTAAAACCCTGACATTACAGAACACAATAGACAAAGTTAACTTATTTCATCCATTACAATGAGAGCTACTCAAGTCCCAATAGACCCCTGGCTGTCTTCAAGTAGGTACTGGACAGGCACCTAAAGTCGGTACCTGACAAGCCGGGATGTGGCTCGTACGTTGGATTGCGTGCAGCCAGCAGTAATAGCCTGGTTGATCAGGCTCTGATCCACCATGAGGCCTGGTCACAGACCGGGCCGCGGGGGCGTTGACCCCAGGAACTCTCTCCAGGTTAACTACAGGTATCTCAGGAATATAGATAAGGAAGGGGTGTTGGTAAATAGTCTCTTAAGACATTACAGTAAATTAAATTAAGAAGCAGGTATAATAACGTAAATATTAACGTGTATATCAACTGGTTAAGATCAGAGATAAAAGTACAGCCTTCAAGAAATTAATAATCTATTTCTACAAGTAACTGATACAACTTACACAGACCATAACTGACATACTGTATGGTAAACTTCTGGTTATGTAGAGTATTTCTGCCAACTTTGGCTAATTTTTTCCCCAGGATGCGACCTACACCAGTCGGCTAACACCCAGGTACCTACTTACTGCTAGATAAATAGGGACAGTAGGTGTTTTAAAGAAACATACCAGTGTTGCTACCCGTGCAGGGGATCGAACCATGGACACTCAGTGGGCGAATTGAGTGCGCTACCAACCGAGCTAACGGACATCTAGTGAAGCTAGAGAATGTTCCTAAGTTGACAGTCAGTTGAACCACACAAACTATTAGACAAGAATAAGAGAATTCAACCTAACTTCCCTGGAAGAGAGGTTAGGTTAGGTTCGTCAGGTAACAGGACAAGTGTTTCCTGACGCGGGTCTTAGATGACCCGCCGCTGGAACTTTTAGTTATCTGACTCCTGGAAGAGTTGAACCACGGGACTGTGACCAGAATAATCATGATAATCTATGTTATTATTAAGACGGTTAACAAGAATAAACTGATAAAGTTGCTTAAACTTCTTTATATACGAGCTAAAATCGATGGTATTGGAGTCAATTATTATACTTAAATTAATAAGCCGAATAGCAGTTACTGGACAAATTATCTAAGAACAATCGGCAGTAAGATCAAAGAGGCGAGGTCAGGCGCTGGAGTTCAACTCCCAGGAGAACAACTATACACATAGGTAGTTATGTTTATACTCACCACAAGTGCATAGTGACCGCACTGAGGGACTGACCACCAAATCTGTTTTCAAGGATAATGCACTTATTAAATTACCTTCGCATTTCTACAGCTTCTGCTGCCTCCTCTGTACACAACTGAAGAAGCCTGCTGTGTAGGCGAAATGTTTCGGAATAAAGATACCAAACTGTCAGTATTATTTACTAATATAATACTCACCACATTGAGGGTCTCATAGGCCCACTGATCGAAGGGTCGTTTGTAAAGAGGAGAGTGAACGTCAGCAAAGCCGGCCCAGTTACCTCGCAGGTCGTACGTCATGGCGTGCACTGCGTCCACGTAACTGTAGGAAGTAACGTAAAGTTGTAGTGACTGAGGGATGTGGTAGGGCAGTTTAATGTTTATTATGCACACCATACCCATCCTGTGGGTGGTAGTCAAAATATTACAGAGGTACATAATGGGTCCAGTGACTGGACCCCAAAGTTATGATAGCTGAACTAGTTACAAAGGTAATGAACCACCTACACTCCTATACATGGTTAAAATCATGAACAAATTACAAAGTAATGAGCCACTGACACTTCCACACCCGGTTATAATTGTAATGAGTTATAAATAGAAATTTGAAGTGGGTCATACACCCACACGAGGGCGCACACGCAGACGGTAGGACAGCAACAAGAGTAGTCACTCAGGGACGTGGTAGAACAAGAATAGTCATTGAGGGACGTGGTAGAACAAGAATAGTCACTGAGGGACGTGGTAGAACAAGAATAGTCACTGAGGGACGTGGTAGAACAAGAATAGTCACTGAGGGACGTGGTAGAACAAGAATAGTCACTGAGGGACGTGGTAGAACAAGAATAGTCACTGAGGTACGTGGTTAGAACAAGAATAGTCACTGAGGGACGTGGTAGAACAAGAATAGTCACTGAGGGACGTGGTAAAAACAAGAATAGTCACTGAGGGACGTGGTAGAACAAGAATAGTCACTGAGGGACGTGGTAGAACAAGAATAGTCACTGAGGGACGTGGTAGAACAAGAATAGTCACTGAGGGACGTGGTAGAACAAGAATAGTCACTGAGGGACGTGGTAGAACAAGAATAGTCACCGAGGGACGTGGTAGAACAAGAATAGTCACCGAGGGACGTGGTAGAACAAGAATAGTCACCGAGGGACGTGGTAGAACAAGAATAGTCACCGAGGGACGTGGTAGAACAAGAATAGTCACCGAGGTACGTGGTAGAACAAGAATAGTCACTGAGGGACGTGGTAGAACAAGAATAGTCACTGAGGGACGTGGTAGAACAAGAATAGTCACTGAGGGACGTGGTAGAACAAGAATAGTCACTGAGGGACGTGGTAGAACAAGAATAGTCACTGAGGGACGTGGTAGAGCAAGAATAGTCACTGAGGGACGTGGTAGAACAAGAATAGTCACTGAGGGACGTGGTAGAACAAGAATAGTCACTGAGGGACGTGGTAGAGCAAGAATAGTCACTGAGGGACGTGGTAGAACAAGAATAGTCACTGAGGGACGTGGTAGAACAAGAATAGTCACTGAGGGACGTGGTAGATGACAGGGAGAGGTAAAAGACAAGGAGTGGTGGGAAGAATGAGCTAGAGTGGGATGAGTATGTGGGAGTCGGATGAGACATGAACACATTAGGGTGAGGAAAAACTCAAGTGAGAACAAATAACGATACAATTGAGACGTAAACAAGAAGTGACAAATCAACAAATATGCTCAAAAAAAATCAGGGATGATCAAGTCCGGAGTACTGATGTTTGGATCACTTGTTAGTTATCTGGGAGTACCTGGGACTACATGGGAGTACATAAGGAGTGCATGGAAGTACTTGAAAAGATCAAATAGCAGATGACTATAATCTACACTGCTGGAATGACTGTCTGCTTCTATTTAATAATTGCAATACATTATCTAGATGTTTGAAAAAGGGGACGGTAAAGCACAAGGCTCTCTTCCTACTTTCCATCCCTCCTCCGGCCACTGCCGACATCAAACGCACCATACCACACCATTGAATAAAATGCATTGAATCTACGAAAGGAAGAAATGGATGGAAGACACAGTTCCTGGACATGATACAGTCATCCGGGGACACTCACTAGCAGAGTTCCTGGACGTGGTAGCCTTCCTGTAGTCTGAACTTGGCTACAGGAACTGCCATAGAGATCTCCCAGCCTTTGCCCTCCTTGTCGAAGGCTTCTCGTAATTCCTTCACGAAGTCTCTATAACACAGAAAAAATTGTTAAAAACTCGTCTCAGTCGTACATGAAATAGCAATTTCAGTATATTTAACGATCACTCAAGATAATACCAGTGTTAGTGCCAGTTCAATGCTAGTTAACTAGACATAATGGCTTCTAAGCACTTACTAACCCAACTTGAATGTGATTAATTCAGAGATAAATTAACAATGGGTTTCTGGAGTTTACCTGGAGGGTAAACTCCAGAACGGAAGCCTGTAATTGTTTACCTGGAGGGTAAACTCCAGAACGGAAGCCTGTAATTGTTTACCTGGAGGGTAAACTCCAGAACGGAAGCCTGTAATTGTTTACCTGGAGGGTAAACTCCAGAACGGAAGCCTGTAATTGTTTACCTGGAGGGTAAACTGCAGGACCCCATCGGGTCATAATTGCCCATCAAAAACTCTCATCGAGAATTCTTCACTGCATTTTGATGGACACAATAAGAGTTAGTAAGGAACTTTCTTTTTATTTAAGATAGACTAGAAAATCCTACATTATAGAATCTATGTATTTGTCTCCATATATTCACGAAAGACAAATAATCATATTGGTTTAAAACTGAAATGTTTATATGCGCATATATATATATATATATATATATATATATATATATATATATATATATATATATATATATATTATATATATATATATATATATATATATTACATATTCACACATACAACGCTCTTCTTGCCAAATAGGACAAGCGAAAATTTATGTATGCAATAATTTCGCAAAAATCTTTCTGAATTTAACGAAAAAAATATTTCATTGTATTTGTTTATTAAATTACTGTAAATTTATTTAAAAGATATTTAGTTGGATTAAGCTAAATTAAATTGTGCTTGTTATAATAAGGTTAGGTAAGTTTCCTAATGTTCTTTTGGTACAAAGTCATTAATTTTTATATTAACATATGGAAGAAATATATTTTTAAATGTGTAATTTTAGAAAGACATAATTTTAAATAAGGTCTTGCTAACTGACTAGTTTTACTTATTCGGCACGACATATATACATACATATTAAAGTATTATCTTTTTAAGTGCTAAGTTGCTAATTTTCTTAAGCAAGTTTCCTAAGGGATAACTAGAATGTAGTTCTCACGGAGATTTTTAGATTTATAACTGCCTAATTACCATATCTATGGAGGAAATGGGAAATTTATTTCCATGCCATAACTTGAAACTGACTTCAAACTGTCAGTACTGGTGCACCTGAAGTAATGAAAGATTTTCTGTACATTCTCAAGGTCGGTAATTTTGCCAGCCTTGAAGGGGGCAGTTAGTGTACAGTAGTGTTCCAGCCTAGAGAGAAACTATTTGAAGAGTGTCATCAAGGGGCTCTGGTGGCCTGGTGGTTAACGCTCTCGCTTCACACGGTGAGGGTCTGGGTTCGATTCCCAGCCAGAGTAGAAACATTGGACGTGTTTCTTTCCACCTGTTGTCTATGTTCCCCATCAGTAAAATGGGTACCTGGGTGTTAGTCGACTGGTGTGGGTCGCATCCTGGGATACTGACCTAAGGAGGCCTGGTCACAGACCGGGCCGCGGGGGCGTTGACCCCCGGAACTCTCTCCAGATAAACTCCAGATGGGCTTGGCGTCCCTAGTTTTGAAGGTTCTCATTATTCATCCTATCATTTTTCTAGCAGATGTGGTAGAAACACTATCATCATCTTTGAAAGTGAGATTCTCTGACATTATTACTCCCAGGTCCTTCACATTAGTTTTTTCGCTCTATTGTGTGGTTGAAATTTGTTTTATACTGAGATACATTTTTTTATTTCCTCTTGTTTTACAAAGCGGAGTAACTGAAATTTCTCTTCATTGGGCTTCATACTGTTTTCTGTTTTGGTTGATGTCCGCATGGAGATTTGTAGTGTCTTCGACAGATGACACTCGTGCAAATTCGGGTGTCATCATCAACGAAGGCTAACATTACTGTCTGTCAGATATGAGGATGAGGAACAGGATGGGAGAGAGTACTGTGTCTTGTGGAACAGAGCTTTTCACTGTGGCCGCCTCTGACTTTACTCTGTTTACTATTACTCTGTGTTCCGTTTGTTAGAAAGTTGTAGATCCATCAATAAATAAATAACAAAAAGGCACAATACCGTGACTGGAACGATACACAAATAACCCGCACATAAAAGAGAGAAGCTTACGACGACGTTTCTGTATTGTGTCCTGCACACCATCCAAGACCATGTCATAGTGCTCCAGTAGTTGGCACAGGCAGGAGTGACCTGTTCTAAACCCGTGTTGCCCTGGGTTGTGTAACTGATGGGTATGCAAGTGAGTGACGATCTTACTTCCTAGAACCTTTTCTGTATTTCTGTGCAATTACTTTACTGCCACCTTTGTGGAATAGGGTTATGTCTGTTGTTTTAGTGAGTGTGGGATGACCCGTGTCCATGCTCCCTCTCCATAAAATGCTTAAGGAACGTTAAAGGGGTTTATTGTAATTCTTGTAAATATTTACTGTGACGTAATACATATATTAAGAATTTATCTCTGCTGTCTTTTGTTTTGTCCCTGCACTGTCTAGTTCAGTGTCTACTGACTTAGTTACGAACAGGTGACAGTGGCCCACCAGAAAAAAATGTGTTCTTAATAATGATAATCTCTCACCTGAAGGAGTCCTTGTCCTTGAAGGTGCCTCCACGGTCGGCCGCTCCAGGGTACTCCCAGTCCAGGTCAAACCCATCAAAGCCATATCGGTTCATGTACTCTGTAGCGGGAGAGGGGAAGAGTTGAGGGAGAGGATAAAAGTTATCCAAATATAAAGAGAAACAGGTCGGCAGAACGGGAGGATAAGAGGAGAGGAGTCCCAGTCAGAAGAAATCCTTGGTGGAACATCCTGTCAAACCCTCATCAAGATCATATAGATTTCCTCTTTCTTTACAAGTATAATGTTGAAAATTATATAAAATACTGACAAATTGAGTGTGTGTAAAGGTAGAAAGTTGAAAGTGAACATAGAAAAAAGTAAGGTGATGAGGGTATCAAATGATTTATATAAAGAAAAATTGGATATCAAATTGGGGAGGAGGAGTATGGAAGAAGTGAATGTTTTCAGATACTTGGGAGTTGACGTGTCGGCGGATGGATTTATGAAGGATGAGGTTAATCATAGAACTGATGAGGGAAAAAAGGTGAGTGGTGCGTTGATGTATATGTGGAGACAAAAAACGTTGTCTATGGAGGCAAAGAAGGGAATGTATGAAAGTATAGTAGTACCAACACTCTTATATGGGTGTGAAGCTTGGGTGGTAAATGCAGCAGCGAGGAGACGGTTGGAGGCAGTGGAGATGTCCTGTTTAAGGGCAATGTGTGGTGTAAATATTATGCAGAAAATTCGGAATGTGGAAATTAGGAGAAGGTGTGGAGTTAATAAAAGTATTAGTCAGAGGGCTGAAGAGGGGTTGTTGAGGTGGTTTGGTCATTTACAGAGAATGGATCAAAGTAGAATGACATGGAGAGCGTATAAATCTGTAGGGCAAGGAAGGAGGGGTAGGGGTCGTCCTCGAAAAGGTTGGAGGGAGGGGGTAAATGAGGTGTTGTGGGCGAGGGACTTGGACTTCCAGCAAGCTTGCATGAGCGTGTTAGATAGGAGTTGAGACAAATGGTATTTGGGACCTGACGAGTTGTTGGAGTGTGAGCAGGGTAATATTTAGTGAAGGGATTCTGGGAAACCGGTTATTTTATATAACTGAACTTGAGTCCTGGAAATGGGAAGTACAATGTTGCCTGCACTTTAAAGGAGGGGTTCAGGATATTGGCAGTTTGGAGGGATATGTTGTGTATCTTTATATGTGTATGCTTCTAAACTGTTGTGTTCTGAGCACCTCTGCAAAAACAGTGATTATGTGTGAGTGTGGTGAAAGTGTTGAATGATGATGAAAGTATTTTCTTTTTGGGGATTTTCTTTTTGGGTCACCCTGCCTCGGTGGGAGACGGTCGACTTGTTAAAAAAAAAAAAACTGACAAATTGATGAGTATGACATGTGCAACAGTTGGGTATCTTTATTGTTGAAGAGTTTCGCCTACACAATAGGCTTCTTCAGTCAAATAGAGGAAGCAGATGTAGTGAAATGAAGATGTAATCAGTCCAACCTTGGAGAAATGGTATTTGAGGTGGTCAGTCCCTCAGCCTGGAGAAGAGTTCGGCTCTACGGTCTGGAACGATATATCGTTCCAGACCATGGAGCGGAGGGACTGACCACCTCAAATACAATTTCTCCGAGGTTGATGAATTGATTATATCATCATTTCACTACTACTCCTGCTGCCTCTGTATGTGACTGAAGAAGCCTACTGTGTAGGCGGGACGTTTCATCAATAAAGACACCCGATTGTTGCACATGTGTCTTACTCATTAAGAAACATAACCCAAGAAACCCCTCCACTGCCCCACTACCCCCTGCACCCCCCACAAACCTACCATATCTCACTAAGCACACACCGGTCGGTACATAAATTCTCCCACAGACCCAGTAAAGCAGTCCCAGTAAAGCAGTCCCAGTAACCATCCACATCCAAACCTTCAATTAACAAACGAACAAGGAACAACGACAGGACACTACAGAGAATAACAGAAACGATCAAATTATTGCATCTGAATACAGTAAAGATTTTTATACACAAGTTTCTAATTAAACAAACATATATAAGAGAAACTTAGATATCATAGCTCTCACAGAGACAGAAACTGTTGATAAGCAATTTATTGAGCAGCATATCAACCAGTGTGAGCCGAGGAGATAAGACAGGGGAACTACACACTTAATAAAACAATGAAGGATACAGAGGAGTCAAAACACAGACAGAATAAGACTTGAGTATGCAAAGTATAATGCGCTACCAGACAACAGGAGACCAAGTCAGGAATACAAAAATAATATCAAACGCGACAAGAACTCGAGCAGTGCAACACCATTATCAGAAATTTCAACCATAAAGAAAATAACTTTTCTCCCTACTTTGAAACTATGAAAAGAATTGGGATCCACAAAAAATTTCGAATATATGGCAGCTTAAGAGAATGAAAGTAACAATTAAAACTTTACTAACATGTAAGAGAGACAAGAGAAGACGAGCGTATAAGACAGGACATTGGTATTTAGCTACAGTGTATCTGATATAGGTAAAGTAACCCATGTTGGACCTCTGGTACCGAGGTTTGAATACCACGTGAAGGTAAACTTGGAGACAAGAATATTTAGTGCAAAAAAGGGATCTTATATTTGAGAATAGGAAACTGAGCTGTTATGAGAAAGAAAATTAGAAGAAAAATAGCATTAGATTTTGGAGATATATATATATATATATATATATATATATATATATATATATATATATATATATATATATATATATATATATATATATATATATATATATATATATATATAGGGGCGGGCGGGACGAGGGGTTGCAATTTTTTTTAGACTACAAGAAGGCATTTCAAGCAGTACCCCCCACAAGAGACTGGCGAAAAATGATGTGCAAGCATGGATAATACGGAACTTGTACTAGTGGATCACAGAGGGCCTCAGAGGGAGGCAAAGTGTAAATGTCAAGGAAGAGAAGTCATAATGGGGAAGTGTAACAAGCGGGGTGCCACAAGGGTCGGTATTAGAAGCCAGTTCTTTGTGTGGTTTATGTGAATGATATTCCGGATGGGATTGAGTCAGATGTATCCATCTTTGTTGATGATGCGACACTGATAAGAATAAAGCAGACGAGGAGAGGCAAAAGCCGTAAATATATCTGGACAAGTTGCAATACTGGTCAGATAAGTGGTTGCTTGAATTAAACCCCAGCAAATGCAAGGTCATAAAGATCGAGGAAAGGGACAGAAAACTGGACAGTGTATAGTTTCGGGGAAGAGAGGTTACAGATCTCATTCAAAGAAAGACCTAAGGGTGAGCATAGTGCCTAGCATATCACCAGAGGCTCGCATCAATGCTCGCCTGCCAGTGTTCACACCCAATGTTCGTCTGGCAAATCTGAAAGTGACATTCAGGAATCCCAACAGAGTCTTTCTGGACACCATATTTATGCAACATATGTCAGGTGTGTCTTGGAGTACGCAGCACCAGTGTGGAACCCCCACCTGAGGAAACATGTTAAGATACTGAGAAAGTGTACATGTATGCAAGATGGCTTGTTCCTGAGTCCAGGAGCTTGAGCTACGAGGAGAGACTAATGGTACTGAATCAAGTGACACTGGAGGATAGAAGAACACACACACACACACACACACACACACACACACACACACACACACACACACACACACACACACACACAAATCGGCCTGACGACACTAGAGGACGGTTAGGGGAGACATGATAACGACATACAAAATACTGCGTGGAATAGATGAGGTGGACAGAGACAGGATGTTCCAGAGAGGGAACACAGAAATAAGGGATCACAGTTGGAAGCTGAAGACTCAGACGAGTCACAGGGATGTTAGAAAGTATTTCTTCAGAGTTGTCAGGAAGTGGACTAGTCTGAAAAGTGATGTAGTACAGGCAGGAACCATACATAGCTAAGAAGTACGATATGGCTCTTACATAAGGGAGAGAGTGGACCTAGTAGCGACCAGCAAAGAGGCAGAGCCAGGAGCTGTGAATCGACCCCTGCAGCACACACACATGCGCATGCCGAATAACAGATCGTTTGTGCCCGTGAATCTTCAGTAGTTTCTGGCCCAACAAAACCATTGCCAAGTCCGTCGAAAGTTGACAGTGTTAGTAAACATCCCAAGAAGTGTTCCTCGAACTGTCCCGAACAGAAAAGGGAGGTGAAGGTCAGTTATATAAAAACAGTTTGAATCAGTGCCAGGAGTGAGAGTGGAAGGGCATAGGCCTAGAGTGGGTGTAGGCAGTATCGCCACATCCCAATACCAAACCAGAGTGAGACAAGCAGAGCCAGACACAGTGCAGTACAGCAGAGCCAGACACAGTGCAGTACAGCAGAGCCAGACACAGTGCAGTACAGCAGAGCCAGACACAGTGCAGTACAGCAGAGCCAGACAGTGCAGTACAGCAGAGCCAGACACAGTGCAGTACAGCAGAGCCAGACACAGTGCAGTACAGCAGAGCCAGACACAGTGCAGTACAGCAGAGCCAGACACAGTGCAGTACAGCAGAGCCAGACACAGTGCAGTACAGCAGAGCCAGACACAGTGCAGTACAGCAGAGCCAGACACAGTGCAGTACAGCAGAGCCAGACAGAGCAGTACAGCAGAGCCAGACACAGTGTAGTACAGCAGAGCCAGACACAGTGCAGTACAGCAGAGCCAGACACAGTGCAGTACAGCAGAGCCAGACACAGTGCAGTACAGCAGAGCCAGACACAGTGCAGTACAGCAGAGCCAGACACAGTGCAGTACAGCAGAGCCAGACACAGTGCAGTACAGCAGAGCCAGACAGTGCAGTACAGCAGAGCCAGACAGTGCAGTACAGCAGAGCCAGACAGTGCAGTACAGCAGAGCCAGACACAGTGCAGTACAGCAGAGCCAGACACAGTGCAGTACAGCAGAGCCAGACACAGTGCAGTACAGCAGAGCCAGACACAGTGCAGTACAGCAGAGCCAGACACAGTGCAGTACAGCAGAGCCAGACACAGTGCAGTACAGCAGAGCCAGACACAGTGCAGTACAGCAGAGCCAGACACAGTGCAGTACAGCAGAGCCAGACACAGTGCAGTACAGCAGAG